TGGAGTGCGCCCAGGATGTGAAGAAGGTACTGGATCTTGAGCCCAACAACAGGGAAGCACGAGCTCTGGCGAAGGAAGTTGCAAAGGCTCAAAAGGAAGAGGATCAGAAATCCAAAGGTTTGTTTGGAAAAATGTGCCAGGCATTGGGCACGGGGCCAATCAGAGAGCCCTTTGTAGATAGGAGATTCGATTTTGATGCTGAAGAGAGGCTTCAAAAGGAAGCTGAGACGTAGAATCTGTTCGAATCTGGTGTAGGGCTGGGCGAATCATGGCCCACGGCTCTTTAAAATCGTCTCACCATGGAAAGGTCCAAGCGATTCAAAGACTTCATGGTTGCCGCAAGAGCTAGCGACAGCAAAATAGAGCCGCAGCAGCTACCCTCTGGTTATGTCAAAGTAGCTATTGGAAATGGCCATTTATAGTTGATTTACCCATTAGAAATGGTGATTTTCCATAGCTACATTGTGGGGTTTATCCTTGAATCACATCGTAAGCCACGCTATTCCCAACTCAGCAACTTTTATCCAACGTCAGCCTTCATTGGTAACACGGCGCACAAACTGAAGGCCATAGACATCCAGAGGCTTCCAAGAAAAACGGAATCCTAGAAGATGAAACTCTTCATGCATGACGATCTGAATAATAGTTGGCCACCCTCCAGTAAACTAGCAGAGGCATAGAAAATCAATCACATGTAGATCATTGGTGGAGAAACCATAGTTTTTCCAAAAGCGACGTTTGTTTACCCCAGATAAAAGTAATGACTTCAACTCATTTTCAGTTGCTTCTCCAATTTTATCCAATTTTTATGTATACAACTTTTCAAATGAACGGGACCTCCAGTTATAATTTGGTTTTAAAGCCCATTCCAAAGAATAGATATATATCATGAGATACCATGTGATATCTACCATCAATCCATTCGTGTAGCCTAGTCATAAAGCAAATTAAACTATCTACCTAACAGGCTTGCTCCAACCTATTATGGGTAAATGAAAGCCAAAAAAGGATGATAAATGTGCGTCCTTACACCATTTTTGGCCAAATTTCCCAGCCTGTTGCAACCCTCTCCTAGGGAGATCTAGGGGGGGGCTTCCTGAACGAGATACCCTTTGGTAATCAAACATGGCTTGCTGGAAATTGCCCCCAATTTATAGATGTCCCATCAAACCCTCCATGTGGTGCGGGGATTTCCCTGCGGCCATGTTTGAGGACACTGGAGGGTATGCCCATAAGACTAATTATTAGCCATTAGCTATATATATATATATATTAACAATCTATAAACCGTCATTAAGCATTAATTAAGCGTTAGTAAAAACTGTTGATATCACCATTTTATTTCCAAAACCCTGGCCTGGTCGTTGCGGCTCTGACGTGTTCCGACCAGGCCTTTGCTCCTGAAAAAACTGCTCTTGGCAAAGGTCTTCAGTGTCGGCCGGCACAGTTTTTTTTTTCCCGCCGGAAGCAGAGAGATTTCTGCATTTGGTTCGGGAAAAAACTGGGAAAATCCTGTGGGCTTCATTGAAAATATGGAAAATGACCTGCACATAGTCATTTTAGTACGGAACATGCCTTCTCAGCTGTTGATCAAGTTTTGGGGTGTTGTACCCTATTTGAGACAAACCCATGTGGCTGGTTTTGCTTTAAACATCGATTTCCGTGAGAAGGTCTCCTCCGACCAAGTGTTTTAAGTAAGGACAGCTCTCGCTTCTTCCCCTTGGTTTGGCGCTTAGACTGGAGAGAAGAGGTGTTCATTTCATGCAGATGCAAGAAATGATACATGGTTAATGATCCCTTATTAAATCAGTGGTGGTTGATGTTGTTGGTGGTGAGTCAGCCCTCATTCTTGGTGGCACCTCTGCATGGAAAGGTGGAACATTCCTTCGAGATCGCGCGAGAATGGCTGGAGCCGGTGAAGGGCTTGGGGCCATTGCACCGGAGCTGGTTAGAGGAAGTTTAACTTGATTTCTAGCCATTACCTGAGTACATAATGGATATTCATGGCAGTAATTGATTACTAGCCATTCATCAGTTCTTGACCAAGACTGATACAATGGGGGACGAAAAGCGACCATTCACTTTGACCGGAATAGAGTTGGAACTGCAGAACTGGGCCAAATCGGCTTGGTTCCAGGTGAGTTCGACGGACCATGAGTGTGTGGACTTGAACCAGTGGCACGTGATGGTCTTCGCACTGGTCATGGAAGCCCATGTGTCAGCTGCCCTGATGAATCCTGGTGGTTTTTCGCTGTTTTTTAAGAGGTGATTAGATGATGCGACCGGTCGTATCACCAATATTAATGATGTATGGATGAGTATGGATGGTGCTATATGGCTGTGGATTTTTAAGTGTTCTTAGAGATGACTCGAATCAATTGCTGGATGGGACTGGGGTTTCTTCCGTCCATGGGGAAGCGGTAACACCAAATCTGATGCCATGAGGGCTGCAGCAGCACCATGGAAGAATGACAAAGGAGGTGCGAGCCTAATTTTGGGAGATTTTGAGGTAGCCTCAGTGACCCGTCTTTGTTATTTAATGATTTTTGATGATGTTCAATGTTGTTAAAGAGTGTTTGATGTTTTTTGGCAATAACAGTTTTGATGGTATTTGCTCGTATTTGTTCGCTCAAAAACAGTTGGGTCACGAGAGGATAGCATATAAACTTATTTTCCACTGGCTTGACCCATATTCTGATGGACAGCTAAGGATGGGTGCTGGCTGGAAGCCTAGATGAGCAGTTGCCAATACTCCTGTCTCAGATTTTTTGGAGGGAAACTTGCACGAAAACCCCCAGACGATTGAAATTATGGCAATGGTAAAAGCCCTGGTTTGCGATTGTGGACCCTCTTGATGCCATGAGTGATCTGAATCTCAACTCCGGTTGCCCTGATGGCACCAAGGATCAAGATGCCTTTGCCGACTTGTGCGGTCAATTGGCTTCAAGGACCAGGCAGCCTTCCAAGTGTCGGCCCATTGATTTTGGGTCAGTTCCAGGTGGATCAACTTGACCCAATTGACCTGGAGATTTTTGTGGCAGGCTGGCGGACTTTTCGACTCCAGAGGCGGGTTCACCACGGTTCACCATGGGCTGTCCATCGTCCTTGGTGCACCAGTCATGTGGCCCATGTTCGGTTGGTTCGCTCCTGTGCTGAAATAGTTATTATGTTATTTCTATTTATTTCTGATGTTCCGTTTGGTGAATCAATCCGGAAACGGGGTGGCTCAGTGAAACTCAACCACCAAGCAGTGATTGGTCTTTTTTTGGTCCCCCATGGTCCCCCAAATCAGCAAAACTCAAGGCATCCCATGTCCATGTTTCATTCCTCCCAGGAGACCCTAGAGACGCTGAGTGACTGGGCCGAGTCCCCGGAAGATGCCGTGCAGTTCCTGGGCAAGGCATGCAAGGCACGGCACGGCATCGCAATTGATGATGAAAAACAGGGTTTAGATATTTTTCTCCATGAGTCTTACTGGTACTTGTAGGTGTTTTGACATCTGTCTTTAAACAAATTTTAGGCTTAATTAAAACATATACTAATACCATTCAAAGAATTTTACATCCATTTTGGAGCAATTTTTGTTGGCTCCTGCTGTTTGCTGTTTGGATTATCAGTTGATCATAGTTGATCCATTCCCAAAGGCCGAGTCAGCGGCATCGGCATCGGCCACAGTGAGCTTCGAAGCCTTCGCCAAGTGGCTGGTGCGCCCGCAGCTACGGGGGATTGGAGAGGGGTTCGGTTGGAGATGTTTTCCGGTGCATGATCGTATTGGGTACCATCTGGTTGTGACTAACAGTTTGCCATGGAAAGATCCACCATGCTATTATATAATAGGTATAAACCATCTATTTCGATTAGGGCCATCTATAACATGGCGAACTGTTGGTCATAACCAGAGGGTATGATTTAGGCTGCCTGCTGCCTTGCATCCTGGAATCCTGATGTTTTGTTGGTCAAACAAAGCCCCTCTTTCTGGCACCCACTTCACACCGAAAGCAGTCCTGGTTTTGCGGTGTGAGGTCAGAAAGCAATTGCCTCATTGGCACACTGAAACAGAAGAGCTGAAGAGTCGAAAGAGGTGCTAAGCCTGGATGAATGTTGCCTCGGTGTTAAACAATCGATGTGCTATTTCAAGACCCATTGGCCATGGATCACTTTTTGGGGGTACCACAGCTTGGAAGCCCCGGCAAAAACAGCTACTTCATGAACCATAGCTTGCGGAATTCAGGGATGGCATATTTTTTTGGGGGTCAGATTTCAAGTGGTTTATGTGGCCCCCCCCCAAGAAGATCAGATCGAATGGTAAATCACCATCGAAATAGTCGGGCTATCAACTTTCCAATCGTTTTTTTTGTTAGGGACCTGGTGATTGGGACCCCCAGAAAAATATAGAAAAATCACATGAAAGGATGATAGCTGTGCACGGTATCCCTGCAAATCCATGCACAGCCACCGTCCCAAAGCAAAGCCAGATCCAAACCGCAGGCGAACCATTGGTTGAAGATCCCTGACTAGTGAGCACATTCAAATGATCAGGTAACATCATAAAACATTCATAAAACATTCATAAAACCCATATAAAACATTCACCTACCTTTTTTGGATGTGCTCCGCCGATCTCCGCTGTACTCGCTCCATCCGAGAGTCCCAGGGCGTTCCAGCTCCTGAAGCTGATGAACAACACGCCTTCCCTGCCGAATTCCGAGCGCCCGGCGAGGATTTTGGACGCCGGGACTTGGCCCTGACAAACTTGGACGTGCAGTTCCAGTATGTTCCAGTTATAAGCGGATATAACACATGATATGAAATTATATAGCTCCAGTTATAAGCGGATATAAGCGGATATAAAGCATGATATAAAATTGTATAGTCATATGATATAATATCAATGATATATATATATATATAGTTAATATAACCATAGTTATAGGGGTTATGTCCCAACTTCTGGGGCTTTAGGTTGTTTAGAATCGCCAGGTGCCAGGAAAGCTTACTCCGTGGGAAGCTCAGGGGTCAACCTTGACCATCGGATGATCCGAACGGATTTCACTGGATGTATCTGGGTAAATTATAACGACCTCACTGCGACCGAGCCCTGGGAATCATGAGGGAATCATGATTAATAAGGGAAATCATCCCCAAACGGAAGATGGAAGGCCTTAATTCAGGTTCAAGAAATGTTATAATTTACCCAGATATACCTATAATTAAACATAATTAGTATTCAATAGGGCTGAAGTGCTGGCTGACTGACATATTAAATTAGTTCTGGGCATGGGGCCAATGGCTCGCCTTTAGCCCTTGGCTAAACTCTCGGAGATGGCGATGGAAAGAGAGAGAGAGAGAGAGTGTTCAATATTTACCTATATAGCACAATCTGCGACTCATGGATCTCTAGAACTCATGGTTTTTGAACAATTTGGTGATTTCCCACTTCCAATTGCGCCAGGCGCAACAGCGATGCAGGCGGAATCCTCTTGCTGAAGACCCTGCCGGAATCGCAATGGACCTCTACCAACAGGCGCCAAAGGTGCACCACCCGGCGATTCCAAGGAACTGCGGAGAGCGAAAACAGATGAGTTCACTTGGGGTGCTTAAATAATCCCATCCCCCCAATATTGAACATCCCGTACTGTACATGGTCCCAGTCATATGTGATTTCATCCCCTACATCCACCATGGTTTCCAGGGAGTGTTTTTCAGAACGGGGGATGGGATGAATCCCAGTGAATAGCCGTCTTAGCCAGCCCTTGCTTTCTCAGGTGTAATCCGATGTTGACATAGTTGACATGTTACCAAGTGGCAATTACTGCATGGATGTGGTGATGTTTCAATATCCAGCGGTCGAGGAATTATTGGTATTATTGATGTTCGCTTGCTTCAGTTGTTGTCTTGAATTTACATACCCAGCTTGATGGACCATGGGGGTATATGGGGGTCCTTCACGTGCAGGATGTATTTATGTGAGAACTTGAGATGTCTAAGTCTCAACAGATCACGGATGACCTTCATGATCCTTCATGCTTCCAGGCGCTTCTTTTCAGACTCTGAGCCTCAGATGCATCAGCAATTCCTCAAAAGATAGAAGTTGGATGAAGTTGGTAAAATCCTACTAGACATTTAACATATTTAACCTTTACCTATTTGGGTGTATATCACTAAATATATCTAAATATTGGATTTCTCATGCTCGAGATTGCTGTTTGAAACAGGGCAAGACACAAGCACAGCTCAGGCCACGTTCTTCCAGAAGACTGGAGGTTTTATCATGTGATGGTCTGCATCCCAGAATTCGGTTTCCAGTAAGATTGCAGAGTGACCATAGAACGACATATATTTAGATATTAGATGATATTAGAATATATTAGATGGACAAGTCATGGGTTTGCAGCAGATCTTCCCAACAGTAAGCCAGTGACAAGGCTCCACTGAGCTGGGCACTGATTTTTTTTGGTCAAAGTCACCAAGAGGGCCTCAGCTGCGAAAAGCGCAGGCTGTGGTGAATATGGAGCGAGGTAATTTACAGTAATTCCAATGATAAATAATCCCCAATTTTAACAGAAACGGATTTGGCTTTGAACTGTCCCCAATTTGTTTGGCTTCTTCTGGGGCTTATCACGTCACCTAAAGCAAGTACGAAGCTCATCATTCACAAAAAATGTTGAATTACACTGTGAAGCCAACTTGCAGTTGTGAGGGCCTGGCAAGTCTCACCCCATTGGCCCAAATACTGGGCCTGCCTGTGGCTGGTTCTCAGCTGCTTTTGACAAGGGCAAGGCAGAAGATAGAGAAGACACAGGTGTTGTAGTGGAAGTGTGTCAGCGACATCATCACAGCTCAGAAGTTTGGGTAGGACCTGGTAGGATAGTACAATGGCAGGCCGCTACCTAATGTCTTGATCGAGTTATGGCTCTCCATAGATGATCACACAATATCACACACACACACAGATCGACACACATATATATACATATGCACACACACACACACATATATATATATACATATATATTTATACATGCACGGTATTCATATGTGTGATGTGTATATGTGCGCCATTGTTATAGCTGCATAACTTGCTGAGTAACTGGCCACATATATTCAGGTCGCTGTTAGGAGCCAAGGATGCTCCTTAAATGGAGCCCGCTTAGTCCTCAAGATCACTTGTTGCTTCGTGTTTTTAGATGGGAAAAAGGTGGGAAAATCATGGGAAAATGGGAAAATTGCTGGGAACATCCACTATGTGTTCAATGTGTTCTGTTTTTTATTTGCTACTCTTCCTTTGTGCTGGTAAAGTCACACTTTTACCAACAAATGCACCACTTTTCCTTCCAAGGTACGTCCCCCCTAGATAGCTAAGTTGGTCTAGAACTAGGTCCACTATGGTTATGGCAAGTATATCATTGTATATATATCATAATCTATAGTTCGTGGCTTTTTTCAACCAACTTATAACCTGGGGGGGGCCTCACCTTGTAGTTGGTTGGTTGGTTGTTCTTTTTCCATTGGTTGGTTAACAGAGGGTTCATTCCCATTGAACCGGGCGGCGAGGTGCCTCCCATGTTCTCGGCCTTGAAGGCGACTGCGATTGGGTCAACGGGGTCCTAAGAATAGATGGTTTGCATATGTATATGTATGTATATGTATGTAAATCACAGACATTTATGCATACAAAAGTAAACAGACAATGTATGTTGCAGCACACATGTGTATATATATATATATATACACAATTCTAATATTGTTAGACAATATATTCTGCCACATTGGTAGTAAGAATTACTAGTGGCTACCATAGCCACGATGATTTCCGGTTCTGGGAGTTGGGCTCGAGGTGAAGGGCCAGAGACTCTACAAACTTGCTTTCTCCTCAGATCACATCAGATCACCATCTTTGATTCATTGGATTGGTTTACTGTAAGGAAAAACGATGGAAAAATACAGTTGAAGCCACTAGTTTCAAGGGACAATAAGTAAATCAGCAGTTTCGGGTGAAGAGTTTCCAAGAAAAACATCCCAATGATTGATGCTTCATGATGTTCCGATTCAAGCGTTTTGGAGCCCAACCACCTTCAATCCTCAACATTTTGCCTTAAGGTTTTCCGTGGGATCGGAGGCTGGGGACGGCAGAACCGCTTCTGTGCATCGGACCTTTCTGAGGCGATGGAAGGGAAAGAAGTGCCGCGCGATCCCCGAGAGGCCCTGGGTAGTTGAGGAGTTGAGGAGCCAAGGTTGGCCATGGAAAATCCACCATTTTTAAGTTAAAACTTTTAAAACCATGGGATTTTTTAAATGGGGCCATGGAATATGAGTGAAATATTGTATCATACTTGTTAATACTTTGCGGAAATTTGACGTAAGAGTTTGCTATGGAGGCCCTGTCCCGTTGGAGGTTTCCACATACCTGGGAAAATCATCGAACTATATGATGTTTTTTTCCATGGTTTTCTAGAAAACCATGTTTGAGTACCGGAGGGTATCTGTTTCCGCCCATGTATGATCCTTCCTGCTTTATATCCCATGCAACGTACTGTAATAATTCTGAGTTCTTCCTGATCAGCTAGTAACCAGTCCCGTTTCCTCTGATGGTTCCCCACCCAAGACATGATATTTTGTGTATTTTTTTGTACTAGCAGCAGGTATTAGGGTCACCTAGAGGTCTCCTAGACCTGGCCCTAATCGGGACAGGGAAGACAACACTTCGATCCATGGATCGAGTCTTTACCGGGGCTTCCGAATGTGGCTTTGCAGGTCACCCCGCTTGAAAAAACGTACACCAATGCTGGCTAAATCTCAGGATAGAACACGCTCTTATTCCTTTTTTGAGTTGTTTCTTTGCATTCTCGGCGATATGAGTTACATGGGTGTGCGTCAAGACCAGACTTTTACATACTTTTACCATTTTGCCTCTCATTCAGCAGCACCCCAATTAATTTTGACAGCGCTTTCAACACAGGATTTTTTTCTTCCAGAATTGGTTGAAGGAAAAAAGTGTCAAAAACCGTGGTTTTCACTTAAGATAGTGTTAAGATTTTCCCTTAAATCAATTCGAATTGATTTTCAGGTCAGGTAGATGAACCTATATTATACCCTTTGGTTGTTCAACATAGCTATGGAACGTGGTTCATATTTGTAGATTAATTATGATTACGTTTCTTAAAGAAAGGGTGAATTTCCAGTTTTGCTACGTTAAATTACGGGAGAGTATCCCCATGAATTATCATTATCTTTGTTTTTTTAATTGATCACGGTATATCACCATTATTAACCCGAGTTATAACTTGGTTTATGACTAGCCCAGTTCTCATAGTTATTTCAACCAAATTAGCTAACTACCGGGAAATACCTTGCAACCATTCATTAAAAAAACCATCAAACACCATGAATCACCATGAGTTCTTATTGTTAACAATCATGAAGCCGTATTAGCCATCATGAAAACCACCATTAACCATTAAGTGACCGTCAATAAACGATTAATATCACCATTAACTGTTCAGAACCAGTATCTTAATGCTAAAAAAACATGAACATGCATCCTGCAGCTGTATTGGCTGGAGCTTGCTAGCTCCTAGCCGCCCTGGCAGCAGCTGGGCAAGTGAAGATTTCGCCCACGAAAATTGGTGCGGGGATGCAGCGGGTGTAGACATTTTGGGAAACAAGATAAGAAAACTATGGTGGGTTCATGGCGCAAAAAATGTGTGAGTATATCATTTGGTATAGATACACATGTAATCACACAAAGTATGTGTATATATATATATATTTATATACTTGTGCACACACACATATATATATATATATACTTGTACATACATACATACATACATACGTACGTACGTACGTACGTACATACATACATACATACATGCATACATACATACATACATACATACATACATACATAGATAGATAGATAGATAGATAGATAGATATATATATATATACAATGAGGATCTGACGGGGATAGGCGTTGTTTCACCTTTTCTGAGGCGGCCAGGGCTTTTGCCAGGGCCGAATGGATGAAGCGGATTGCCTGGAAATGCCTGGGCAGCCCTATGCCTTGGCCCTGTGGAATCTCATCATTCGTCCACCTCGGAGGTGGAGATGCGGTTTTGGGATGGTGGGAAAACCGAAGATCCTGTGGTGGGATCTAGGTCTAGGTGGGATTTTTCACGTAGAAACATGGTGGTAGAATTGGGATGCAATAGGGATAGGAATATTCATGTTATTCATGGGATATGAATGGAATATTAGCCATATACTCTCTGGTAAACAAAGATAACTATGGAACATCTCCATGTTTAATAGGCATATAGATCAACTATACATGTCAATTCTAAATAGCTATGTTGGTTTACCAGAGAGTATATTTTTTTTGGGGGGGAATTGAATTTCCGGAGAACCAAGCAAGTTGTGGTTAGTTGACACGGTTCCAATCTTCAGTTGGTTGGTGAATGGCACGACCTTCCAGTTCTGTTGGTCAAATCAGCAATTTTTCCGCAAGCTGGTGCCCTCCAGTGATGTTTGTTGGTTTACAACCCCCATGAACTAAAGTTATACCTACCATAAGGCCTAGTTATTGGAGTTACTCGGATGTGCAGCCCAGTTAATTTCTGTGGTTATAGCGAGGGTATAATCTGCCATACTGGTACTATGATTATATATACAGTAATTATATTTTTATCCACTTAGATATACGATATATTACATATATATATATATGTAGTATATATATACCCACTTATAAATATCATAGTGCGTAGACACGCACACACACATATATATATATATGTTATCCTCTGGTACTCACAAAATCACAATTTTTATGGGTAATTCAACTATAAATGGCCATTTTCAATAGCTATGTTAGTTTACCAGAGGGTACTATATATTAAATATACCCAAGTATGTTTGCCAACAGCGATTCCGACCCCAGGCGCTACGACGTGGGTCGCCTGGGTCCGCGCCAGTTCCGACTCTGGAGCTGCGGGGTGCGGCGGGTGGATGCTGGGCAGCAGAGGGAATGGGAAGTGAAGCATTAAACATATCCTGGTTGATTGGTTATATAATGGTTATATAATGGTTATATGATGGTTATATGATGGTTACATGATGGTTATATGATGGTTATATCATGCTGAATAATGGTTTATGGTGAAATGGTGAGTAATGGTGAGTCATGGTTAAATTAACATAGACCCTGAACCAAGTCTTAGTGGAAACTAATCTTCCAACCTCTATTTGGCAGGTTCCATGATAATTTACTGGAGGACTTACATTACCTAAATTATTGATAGTTCCTGGTGATTATGATTATTTTTAATGGCTCAAGTAATGTGGTAAACCTGCCATAAACCATCCCAAGAATCAACCATTTTGGGTGGGCATTTTGCATCATCCCAAATAGGACCTAGAGAGACCTCCAACGGATCTGATGGGTTCAAAAAACAATCTTACACTATCAAAAAAAAGTAACATAAGGGCTTATCGGTGCATATTTTTTGCTTCCACGGTAAATTATAAACGCGTGGATTACATATTTTGGGGCTAGGTACGATGAACTGAGAATATTCCGATCTGGGGAAAACATAGAAAAACTTTGGTTGCGTTGAGCACACGGGGCCGGGCTCTTAGATCAACGAACTCCTGGGTGTTGTGGCTCCCCCTCGTTTGCATTGGCCATGCCTTTATCAGAAATCTGATGGTATTAATATGTTTTAATGATTCATCAGTCTGTAATTTCAATAGGTGGTTGGCATAAGACATGAGGCTACTGTAGCATCCTTTTTTAATGGACCCAACAAGGACCACCCTTCATGGCAACATGCCCCCAAATCACCAGGGGAGTTCAACAATGTTCAACCACTGACAATTCGCCGAAAGAGTTTGCGCCAGTGCCATGGGTGAATCATCTACAACTATCTACAACTAGTTGATTTTTCATGACGAACAGTATAAATTACCAGAGGGTCTATGCCCGTTATACCTAGTTATACCCCTATGATATCACACTATATCCACACGAAGCCCATAAATCCCCATAGATCCCCATAAATTATATAAGTTCCCCTGACCACCAGTTGCCACTGAGGATATCGATCTTACCAGCTCTCGGGGACAGCGGCTTAGGTGCCCCCAATTTCATGGCGCAAAGCCGCAAAGCCGGCGTAAATTTCATGGGGAAAGCCTGATGTTTCCTGATGTTTCCTGTAGATTTTCCCTTGAACCAATTATCCAATGATAAGATAATCATATTATCATTGATTATCTATGTATTTCCAGTAAACACTGGGTGTAACTCAACTATCAACATAGATAATCCAATGAGATGTAGAGTTTATCATGGTTTCCAATATCTTCTTAGATAGCCCATGATAATCCAATGATCAATTCCTCAAGGGTTTGCCTACGATCCATAGAATTTATAGGGCCCCCCCTGGCTGATCAGAACTGTATGGGAATGGGAGTACCATCAGCCGGTCCCCCCGAAAGTATTGGCTGAATGTTGTTGAGGCGGATGTTGCTGGGATTTCCGTTAAGCACACTAGGTTTCACTACTTCACTGCATGACTCGGTTGTTGATGCTGGATACTCCCAATACTCCGGCCATTGGGTACTGACCTTGGTGCGAAGGTGTTCTCATTTCCTGCCGGACGTGAAGGAGAGTAGTGCTGAACCGAGACCTTGCGTCGCTTGTTTGCACTCTTTTTGCAACGGCACCAGCTTGGATGTATATCGCCGTTGCTATATAGTCCAATGATTCCAATGGTTGGTTTTAGAGTAGCGAGAGTCGTGTTGTTTAGCCATATGCATCATATGCATCATATGGGATGTTTGCCCCGGCTAGGATGCCGGGCCCTGAGATGCCCTGCCGCTGGTGCCCTGTGACATCCTGTGACACAGGTCATCTATTTGCACCAAAATGCGTCCTGCAGGCGGGTACCCGTCGCAGCGGATGGCCAGATCAGAGCCATAGGTACCATAGCAGAGTACCATCGTTTTAATACACCATCTGGTTATTTGACATAGCTATGGAAAATCCATTGTAAATGGAGGTTTTACTAGGTTGTCATCATCTATACATTCTATACATGTTCATCCATTTTCCAGTTCGCTATGTTAAATCACCAGATGGTAATATGCATAATCCCAGCCCCAAGCACCATCAATAGCCCCACCTGGGCAGGCTGGAGGCTCTCCAGCTGGTTCCATTGTTTCTGCCGCTGGGGATTTCGCTGCACCTCGGAGCAGGTAGATAAATAGACAGGTAGATAGATGTATAGAAATGTATAGTATGCATAGAATATAGTGCATATATACATTCTATAAATGTGTATATATATATATGTTATATTATATTTATATTATATTTATAATTATGTGCCTAGACCCTCCGTTTGTGCCCATAACAATGGTGTTTTACCCTACATTTTTTTTTTACTTTTACCATTTTTTGGGGTCTATAGTATACATGTACGCATACGCACACATGCATGTACTACATGCAAAAGCATTTTGCGTGTGGATGTCCATTTTTGCAGTATTTCGTGTTGATTTGAACAAAACACTGGAAAGCGATAGGGATAGGGCCCCCCCCAAAGAGCGATAACTTATATTTTTGTACCAGGCATAAACAATTGATTTTGACGGCGGCTCATATGGAAGTATGGATTGTACACGCATATACTGCATACATATAGTAGACGTACAAATACAACACTCTTTTTACTTTTCCTCTCCCCCTCTCTCTCTCTCTGAAATAGGGATTGTGTACGCTTCACATATTTAAACACAGGGAGTTTGTGGAACATGATTTTCACGTCCAGGATATCTCAACATTTAGATGAGCACCTTTGCTCCGCCCAGGTTCTGCTTTGATTTTGCGGGCTGCGGAGAGAGCGACGGTGACTACATTTCCTTAGGATGGCCACTTGGCCGCCAAATTAGCCGAAGTTGCTGACGCCTCGCTGCTATTCTGCTTGCTCTTCGCTCCCTTCGATCGCCGCTGCAAGGTTTGAAAGAGATGATCTAGCTGACATTGTACCTGGGTGGCATAGTTTCGTGGATGAACCAACCAACCAACCAATGCTAAAGTCCGACCGAGGTCAAGCACCTCCGCGATTCTGGGGAAGTCTCTTCCATCGGATTGCCGCTTGCTGTCAAACAGTGCTGGGTTGGCTCTTCAAGGGATTTTTTTGAGCCCTTTTCGACTCGTATGGCTTCAGCAGCTTGGATCACTTGCCAGCCAAAAACCATCAAAAACCGGATCCATTCATGCAAACTGGGGCCGTTTTTTTGTTGATCATCTATCATCTCATACTCCGAACGATGAATGCCAGAACATTTGTCGGGGCATGGGTAAGCTCTTAAATGTACTCACATGTCATGATCAAGTCCCAATAGAGGTTTGTCTAGAATAATTGGAAATATGGTTCCCCAAAGAATTGAACATATGCTTCCCCAAGATTAGATGGTTCATCATCATTTTCTCTAATAGGATAGACAGTACCAAAATTGGTTGCTAAATCCTCCATTTTCAAACGCCCAAAAATCATACTGTGATATGATATTCATATTATATCATATTATATCATCGTCAAATGGCCTGAAAAATACCGTGCCCATTAATTATGCAACCATTTGCACTTGTTGAATATTGTTGGTTCATTTAAAACTGTGCGCAAATTGAGACATGATTAAAATTGAAATTGCCAAATTTAGATACCCATTTATCATATAAGATGTCGATGGAGAGAGGGAGAGAGGGAGAGAGGGAGAGAGAGATTATCGGAAGAACATCAATGAACTACCATCCTGGAAACGCTTTTCTATCTTTTCTGGGGTTACTAGGATAGATACATTTCTATTGGTACATATGGTAAAGACATGTGACTGATTATTTACATTACCATACTATAGCCATTACTATTTACAGGATGTTTTTTTAAATGCATAATGTTTACATTCCAAATGAATAAACCATGGTTAAAAAAGAAGTAACCAAACTGAGACAATCATTTATCATAGAACCCCTGTTTCCTATATAGCCATTTGTATTTCCCAAATGTGTTTGTGCCTAAGAAACTGCAGGTGGGGTCGCTCAATGGGAGCGGTCACAGCGCTGTTGCACGCAGATCGGGACCATTCGATTGCGGGGATGGTGGGGGGTCCTCAGTCGGGTGCTGTTTTTTGGGGTTTCAACCATGACTATCCAGTGGTTAGGAGGGAGCTAAGGAGCTAGCGGTATTCACATTCCCTATTAAATGGGGAGCCAAGGAGCTGCTTAGAGTTTCCCAATCATCTAGTAAATCTAGTAGATGAGCAAAAGTGATTTAATGGGAACTTCGCCATCAGATGATTAATGTGAGTAAAGCAATAGGACCCACTCCAATTTTACCATCTGTATGGATAAACCATGATTTTTCACCATCATTGTATGAGGTGGTTTATGATTGCTTTACTAACATCAATGGGATATTCAACATGGGCTAAAAAGTGAGTAATCATGATTAACCAGTGGGTGATTGGCAATCCATTGGCTCATTGGATTGGTGCGAAGAATCACTGCATATCAAACCGAAATATATTCCTTCACACAGCAGCAAGGAATCAACTACCCTCTGGTTATGTCAAAATAGCTATTGAAAATTGCCATTTATAGTGGATTTACCCATTAAAAATGGTGATTTTCCATAGCTATGTTAGTTTACCAGAGGGTAACTAGTCTGGTTTTCCCAACTTCCACTTCATGGTCTTGGCCCCTCCAAATCGTGTCATTCCATGATGATGGTTGTTTTGTAGTGATTCCCAACATGGAAAAGGATGGTTGAAACCCTATAAATAATGGGACAAACAACCAACTCCAGGAATTCTTCCATCCACAGTATAGTTTTTTGAGACTTATGCCGCTTATGCCTTCACTCCGAAATTTGCAAACCGAGGTCTTGGACAGTCCCTTCTGCAGTCTGCGGCAGCTTGCATCGGAACTTGCTCAAAGCGTCGCTTCCTCAGTGCTTGCTGCGAAAATCCCCATGGTTTGGATGATTTTCCCAGTAGAAAAAAGCAAATTTTTGGATGATTGTTGGGCGACGTCGCATTTCTGAAGACCTGCTTTCCACAATCACATTACTTACATGGTTCCTTTGGTTCCTCTGGTTCCTTGAATGGTTGTTGACCCATTGTTCACCCAGAAATCCAACCTGCTGGCTGTGTTCCAACACATCAAAGATGAATGGAGATGGTCGTGCGAAGCCCAACCCGCCCAACCCATCAGACGGGTTTCCTAACAGACTGCTATTCCCAAATCATCCAAAATTAGACCATTTTAGTATTGAAACCAATGGTTTTGGGTAATTTTTCTATCTATCTATCTGTCTGTCTGCCTGCCTATCTATCTATCTATCTATCTATCTACCTATCAATCTATCAATCTATCAATCTATCTATCAATCAATCAATCAATCTACCTATCTACATACATGCGCTGGGTTCCATAAAGCGATCCCGCTTAATGACCAAAGCGCTGGGCTCAGGAGTACCTTTCGGTGAAGGTGCCCAGCTGGCTCCTCTCTGCTGCCCTGGCCCTCGGCCGGATGCGCATCAAGCGGCCTGGCACAATGCGTCGGGGCGTCGGGGCGTCGGGGCGTCGGGGCGTCGGGGCGTCGTCGTAAGGGGAACGTTTTGGTGGATTTTCTAGGGATTTTATGGCGATGCTATGTGATTTTATGGTGATGTTCTGGTGATTTCTAGGGATTAATTGGATTGATGGTGACTTTCGGGTGATTTTCTAGGGATTTCATGATGTTTGACGGTGGTTTGATTCAATGTGGATTTATTGGGATCCTTATGGGATCCAATGGGATTGAAGCAAGGGGTTTGATGGGTGCATAATAGGCAATTTAACCAACGAGAATGGGCATGGTAGTCTGAGAGGCAGGACTGAGGGTTTGCCTGGAATGGATTGGTCAACGTCCTAAGGAGGCTCAGTTCGCTGCCCAGGCACAGTGTTTTTCATCACCTTGGTATATCTGTGCTATGTCAATGTCCCAAGGCGAATTTTTAGGACAATCAGTCGGAAAAGTGAACCCTCTGCGGACTTCATGCGTGTCTCCCTTTTTCCCGTTTTTCACTTTTTGTGGCGAGTCTGGAGTGTAGTTGTTTGACGGGGTTGGGAGATCTTAATCCCGTACTCGTGGGATCTCGTGGGTAGTTTTAGCAGGATATAGGGATATAGGGATGCGCTGAACTTGTACTGGTGGGGAATGGGGCATGGTGACACCCAAGAAAAATGCTCTACAAGTATACGAACGGCTGGCTTTCAATATCTATATAGAATTGTTGGAGGGTAAACCAACCATTTTAGGCGGTATGATGGTGGTGTATCAATATGTATCAATGGGAATTTTCACTAGTGGTAATGGGTGCAAAATAATAACGTGTATAGATTGAAGAAGAAAAACATTTTATTTGGGAGTTTTACTGGAGTTCATCAACAAAAAATCCTCGAAGGCCATAGCTGCCTATTGTTTCAGGCTATTTTGGCCTAGCCCATTTTTTGGTCACCTTGCAATTCTTATACACAAGAAAGGCATGTCATTTTCTGCTGCAGCATGTTCCGCAAAAAGTACCAAAAGTCACCGTAAAAGTGCCGTAAATACATCCGTAAAGTGTCACTTAAATCGCCGCAGACAATCCTTTCGATTCCTACACTTTCCAGTGCCACCAAATTCCATGGGCACCAGTTTTCCCAGGATAGTGATCCAATGGTTATCCATGGGGGACGAACCAGAGATACTTGGGTTGTGGGCAAGACCCTTTATCCTTATGTCTTTTATATATAGATAATTACAGATACGTATCAGATTCTCAGATGCTGCATTTCCTATTTCAACCGATTTCTGGTTGCCATGTTTGCAGTGGCCGTTTCACAGCAGCTGTCACTGCAGTCGCTGAGGCTCCTATGTAACTTTGACATTGATGATGCTTGGGCGGGTGCATGATTTAGGTGCACTCAGTTCTAGGGCCCCGATTTTGTATGGTAGTCATTGTTCCCAGTTGAACAATGGGAGTATGCATTGAAATCATTGGCGTGAGTCCACGGTATGGTTCTTCATATGTCCCAATTGTGTGTGTGTTATTTTTGATGGGGGGGTGGGAAACTAATCAACTAAGGAGCTCTCACCCATCGAACATGTCGGCAATTCCTTCATTCCAGCGCTTTTTGTCCATGGTGTTGAGGACGAAGCTTGGTAGTTAGCGATCATTTGACCTGCATAGCTGGAGGGCACATATGCCTCGGTCGGGAATGATGGGGATAGAAGCAACTAGGCTAGTTGGTGGTTTCCATTTTCTTCAGTGTTCATTTCCCACAGAGATATCCTGAGTTGATCTTCGGTGACTGAGTTCGCGGCACGCTTCCGTTGTTTCGATCCGTGGAAGGCTGCTGGGTATGGGTTACTCCGCCCATGTTTTTCACCCCAAAGTAGGTCGTAAATGCCATGTTTTTTTTGTGGCTATTGAGGTATTCCCAAATGGTCGTGCCGCTGATCACCGAGGATTTTATAGCTCCACACCACTCGCAGAAACTGTATGAGGCCTGGGGGTCGCATTTGGTTCAGAGATGTCCAGGTTTCAAAAAGTTTCTCCAAAAAGGCAGGAGGAGATACCTCCTCCATTTTTCTTACTTTGGCAAATCCCTTCCTGCTACCATTAAATACCAAGACACGCTGCTGTAGTATTGGATCTGTTCATTTTGGGAGTTCGGCATGGGGAGTATGACTCATAACGCGGATCATAAGGGAATATTTGAGAACGAGTTTTCGCCTCCGCTAAGCGGAGGGCTGTTTTTATTATTCATGTCGACCCTCTCTGCCTAGGCTTATACAGGCGACAAAGAATTGGAGAAACTCGCCTGTAGCACTTGGCGATGGGTTCCTTTGCGACAACGCTAGGACCATCGTCCACCTTGGTTTTTTGTCCAGCCACAGTAGACAGTTTTGAGGCCTTAGACTGCACATTTCTTCGCGATTTTTGGAATTCGGAGCAGGAGAATATTGGGTTCAGAAGTTTAAGACCTACATTAAGACCTACAGGGAGTAAAGACTTGGGTCTCCAGAGGAATAGGAATGGTAATTTATAGCCATCCAACCATGGAAAAATCTACTCAAAATCCTATGGGCCTAGTTATAGCTTATACCTATCGGTTGAGGATCCCTTTTTGATCTTTTTGCGGGAGTGATCTGTCGTGAACCCACCAAGGATGGTTGCAGGTGATCACAACACGCAACGCGAACCGCACGTGAACCGCAAGTCGGCCACTCTGCATGGATTATTCAATCGAGGGCTCAATTGAAAATAGCCCTGTTTGATCCTGTTTGGTGAGATTTCTTCTTCCAAAATAGGTGACCAGTTCGGCTTGGCTCGTTTGAAGATGTTTGAAGGCTTTTGGCATTCACCTCACTTCTGGCTGACAGCGTTGTGGGCTATCCTGATTCAAGCTAATTTTGTGTGACCGCATGTCCACTAGGGCTTGGAAACCTGATTGGAATCTGACTTTGACTTGAATTTCTGGAGGAGTGAAGCGTGCATGTTGTGATTTGCATGCAAGGCTTTTGTTGGTTTGGAAAAATATAGGGGGTCATTTATACTATAAGATATACTAAGTAAATCTAATCAACTGGTTTATGGGGGATTACTATCTAGGGGATATCTATTTGTTGTGGAACTCCTTGGGGCCTGAATGGGTTTACGGTTTACAAGTGAGATTGCAGGGGTGAAACATGGGGTTTCACCATCTTGGGTACCAATGGAAACCACTGAAACCACAGTTTATGCTCTCCAGGATTCCCCATTTGTCTTGCTATTTTCACCACCTCTGGCAATGGGCGATTGCCTGATGCAGAACATCAATGGATTGGTTGAAGGGTGGGGACAAGCTTTGAGGAAACCCCGTGCGTTTTTTTTTTTAAATTAAGCTTCCAATCTGTTGGGTTAAACTCCGCATCGCAGATGTTCCCAACTCAACCATTTCAGGGAATTCAAGACATACTCGTACGAGGTATATGGCCATAGGTCAAAACCTCATACCCTGGACGTTCATCCCCCCAAAATGTTTTAAGGTGTAGTTTTTTGGTACTCGGTTTTGACCCAGCCCCATATCCCACCATGGTTTCCAGGTCTATGATTGTTGGTGATATGCTCTTTACCCTCTGGTAAACTTACGCGCAAACACCCCGTTTCGCCCACACCCTTCTTGTCTTGGAAAGATCAACAAAGGTATTATATAGGGAGTATAAAAAAGTCCCACCCCCGTTGAAATCTACATTCATTGAAGATCTTCAATAAGGGTTTAATTCTCCCACCCCCGGTAAACTTCTGTATTCGTTGAAGATCTTCAAATATCTTCAATAAGGGTTTAATTCTCCCAGCCCTGGTAACTGTATTCGTTGAAGATCTTCAATACGGGCTTAATTCTCCCACCTCCGGTGTAAACTTCTGGATTCGTTGAAGATCTTCAACTTCTACATTCATTGAAGATCTTCAACGAGGGCTTGATTCTCCCACCCCCGGTAAACTTCTGTATTTGTTGAAGATCTTCGTTTTTTCATGATGATGATGATGATGATGATGATGTGGAACGAACCCGCACAGGTCCCTATGCTGTGCGTTCTGCTCTAGAACATCAAGTTAACCATAGGGCTAAAATATGCAATTTTTACCACGTTTTCAGCTCATACGAAGAAGCCGGGCCAACAGGCGCGGGCAAGACGAGGTGTTTCGCCGTAAACTTACATAGCTATTGAAAAATAGCCATAAAATAATAGTTGATTTACCCATTAACAATGGTGATTTTCCATAGTTATGTTAGTTTACCAGAGGGTACATCCCGGCTTGCATCCCCATCATATCCCCATGAATTCCTCATCATGATGGTCATCCCCATCACGAGGTCTTCTTCCTTGTGCAAGCTTTGCGCTGCAATCTGCCACCCATGGGTGAAGGGAGCCTGGCGTCCGTTCTAGGCCCCCTCCCCTGCATTCGCGCCCTGGGCACCCGTGGAGAGTGCAGGAATAGGGGTCAGCTACTCAAAATGTGATGCAAGTTATGATTGTTGGAACCCAAAGTACATTGAAGCGACAAGTGGACGAGCTTGATACAAAGCATGCTCCTAAGATAGATATGACAGATGGTGCCACTTAAAGGACTGCTTCAATGATGACCCCATGATGGGCCCTTGCTAGTTCCAAATGGGCCCCCTTTTCATCCCAATCAAGTCTGATCCGTCAGGCTTTGATGCTGGTGAAGTTGACTCTTGTACGGATCGCAAGGCTGGGCGCCTCCAAGGAATGTTGACCCCGGATTAATAACTGTGCCATTTGGTGGGCCCGGCGCCCTCTTAAAGGGAACTGTTTCCGAGGAAAATGCTACTTCCCAATGAAATCGCCGAGAAGTTTACTAATCCGGGGTGTACATAAATACTTTTAAATCCACTTCTATACATGCCCGGCTGTAAGAGCCGTCCTATCCCAGTAAAATAAGAATACATGTTTCGTAAACTGACATGGCTAAGAGGTAAAAGATTGAACAAACTATGATCGGACTCAATGGGCCCTGGCTTCCATGGCAATGGATGGTTCGGCCCATGAACAACAACCAATAGGTAGATGAGAAAGTCGTTGGTATAGCAGACCGGCCCCTCATAAATTTCCCGAAAGGACGATAGATCCAAGAAATGGCATACGGTATGCCAGAGGGATCCAGAGGGTATTTGCCAATCTTCCATTCATCTTTGATTAAGCCATGAATCAGTAATATTATTCATAGATGAGGGAATTTATCAATTATTAATCCATTCATTTCCAGTAATACCAATCATCCATTATTATGCCACGGGAATGTTATAATAGGCTTGAAGAAAAACCTGTGAACATTGATTGATGACAATCTTGCAGGGACGGTATATAGTCCAATGAATCATCTCTAAAATCCAGTGCTATGAATCAATACCAACCATCTTTATCAATAATAAAGACATATTCATTCAATTCCTTAAGAAGTTCCAGTATTTCCAAGATGGTTTGTACCATTTTGATCCCATTTACCATTTTTCATAGTTACCAACAGTTCAACAAGATGGTGGATTTCGCAACCATCCAATGGAAAAAGACTGGAGGTGCTCTCCACGAGAGTCCAGGGAGAGGCCGGAGTGCCGTTTCCGGACTCTGAGAAATGTCCACGAAATATATCAAGGTATACGGTATATGGGGTGTGTCTCAAATTGGGGTATACCTTAATACCCCCCAAAGTGGCCATTGAATGGCCATTGAATGGGGAAAAACATGATCTAGTCATCTAGCCCATTTAATTTTCAGAAGAACCCATATAGACATGAACTCAAAGAAATGTTGGTTCCCAATCTTAGGGAAATGTACCCTTGATTAAATGTGTATGGACCGATCATGTTGGTGTAATCAAAGGTGGCTGGTTGGGACCCCGAACTAAATGGAGGTTTAGTTCGCTGGGAAAATCAACCTGAAATATGGGATGTTCTGTTATGATTGTTGGTTTATAAACCCATTAGCTAGTTCCGCCAAAAGCCCGGCCCTAGTGAGCAAAGTGATGTGCGTCAACTTAGCTATCGTTTGGGGGGGCCTCACCTGGTATCCAAGAGCCGGACATAAAAACTCCCATTGATGGGGATAGAATGGTCAGGATAAAGTGGGGACAAAATGGGATACACAACCAACAATATGAGTTTCTGGGTGTGATCCCCAAATAGCAAATTCAAAGGGGAGAATAATCATAAACCTGTGGATTTAGGGTACAATACCCTATTTTCAGACAAACCCAGATGTCTCATTGAAGTAATCCATTTGGATCACTTGTTTGTTGACATTGTGGGCATGACTTGAATGACGCTTCATGATTCCTACTTGATGTGCATCCCAGTTAACAAAGGGATGATTTAGAACCCGCGAAGCTAACCTATTAATGTCCATTAATCATATCATATTATATATATATGTGCACATTCACACACACATACATATATATATATATTATATTACATTATTATTATATACATAGTATTATAGATTCATATATCATTGGGGTGATAGAACATGATCCAACCCATTAATCTAGCTGGGGTACAAATCATGAACTAACTGGAATGTAACCCCATGGTGATACGATGCACCAGAACTTGGCACCCCAAATGTGGGAAACCCGTTCGGCCAAATGTGGAACGCCCTGCCGACTGGAGATGGATTGAATGACTTGGGGATGATTTATGGCATTAAAAAGAAAACACATGATCTGATCTCAAATCTGACCCTGCATTGGGAATATCATAAGGGAATATGCATGAATATGCAACATCTGATGTCAAATCTTTGGTACCCTCTGGTAATTTGTTACATAGCTATTGAAAATGACCCCATTTATAGTGGATTTTCCCATGAAAAATGGTGATTGTCCATAGTTATGCTAGTTTACCAGAGGGTAAATCGCCTGAAATTGATCGAAAACCACCCGAACACATCGGGCCTTTCTGAAAGGCTGCGCGGCTCCTGGCGACGTCTGCCCCAGATGCTCAGCAGGTTTTATTTGATGATGTGCCATGGTCAGTTGTTACCCTAGGGTTTTTAAGGTGCCATAGATGTGGAAATGGAGGAATTTTATGGAATTTTTGGAGTTCAGAAGGGTGATTTTTTCACAAAACCTATCTTAGAAAAGGGCAGTTGGATGAGGTTTGACCCATGTAATCAACCAAGAGTATAGGGATATCATGGGATTTTCAATGTTTTTTTGCTGGGATATCATGGGGTGCATTAGTTGGGGGATGGTCATACCGGTATTAGTTGGGATTCCGCAGATTACCCGAAGTCCAGCCACGGCGGGGGCTTTTACCCTCTGGTACTCAAGCGTGGCTAGCCGGAAAATCCCGGAAGGACCTGGTGACCTGGAGGTTTTAATGATTTGGAATGGGAAAATCATCTAGAATCTACGAATGACGGATTTTCCAGCAGACCATGTTTGATTACCGGTGGCTACTTCACTTCCATTAATCATCATCACCATTTTGAAATTCAACACGACGTGACGTTGGCGTAGGGAATCATCCCAAAATCACCGCAAATTTGGTTTTAAATTCGTATTTTATACCCAGATAAATCACCTTTTTGGGTTCGCTCAGGAGCGAAAAGGCCTACGGCTCAGAGACGTGCAGAGGCTTTCAATGTCTTGTCGCCTCGAGAGTGCCTTGCAACTCTGTCACGAGGATCTGCCGGGAATCCAGGGCTGGGTTCGGCGGCATTGGACCCATTGGTGGCGTGGCAAACATGGTGGTACTTGGTGGCTCATCCCACTTAGTAAGTGGGTTATATCCCCAGTTATAAATGGGATAAGTAGGGTTAATCCACTTATAACTGGGGATATAACCCACTTACTAAGTGGGATGAGCCACCAAGTAGAATAGGGATATCAATATCATGGAAAAAATCGTGGGATATGGATGGCATATTGGCTAATAATGGCTAATAGCCTCTGGTAAACTAACAGTTTGCTATGGAGAATCACTAAAATCCACCATTTCCAACAGGTAAATCAAATTAAACCAACTATAAATTGCAATGTTTCATAGCTCAAACAACCAGAATGGATCTCAATGGAGGTGAAGGATCCAACCCAATGTGGTTTTTACCCAACGAGCACAGCCATGTTTGAAACGAGCTTAGTAAATATTACAAACCATCCCAAAATGATGAAAGTAGGTATTGGTTAGGCTAGGTATAGGTGTGATTTTCTTGGAAAATAGGGCCCCGAAATTCCATGGCTTCAGTTGCCATTCCCTGAGCATCCACCACTTTTAAGGGCAGATATGATTGACTCATGAATGGTTACTTTGTGTTGATTTAAGTCACCATCTTTAGGAGACCTATATATATTTTAGTTTCGTATATACAAGTATCATAGATTATTCTCTATCCCATTATATGCCCATTATATCCCCATGCTTGGTTTATGGTTGGTTTTTACCCCGTCTTTCAGGGTAAACCCATATGACTTGACAGCGCGAGGGCGCAGAAGCTGGCTATTGCTTTGGGCTCATGCCCCAAAGCACGGACTTCGGAGGGGCGACTCAGCCGGATTTCATGACGTGTTTATTGCAAAAGTGGTTCTTGATTATCTTGATTGATGACACACATCGTTCACCAATGGAACAAGCTGAATGTTTTGAAATGGAGTTTTTCAGGGATTTTTTCAGGTTTACAAAGTTTAAATGGCCATTTATAGTGGATTTACCCATTGCTGAACTTGATTTACCCATGGTTTGTAAAGCAAGAAGAGCACACCACAGGGACCCTCCAGCCCAGCAGCTGAGTCCAACCGGCCTCCGGTGGTCGTCTTTGCCACCGCCTCCTCAAAGGGCCTGAAGGTGCCAGACAAATTCCAATGGTTTCATTGAAAATGGATGAAAATGGAAATGGCCATTTATAGTGGATTTATCATTGAAAATGGATGAACATGGCCATTTATAGTGGATTTACCCATGATTTACCCATGAAAAATGGTGGATCTGTCCGACTGAACATTCCACGTTTAAGTGTTTCCAAAAAAAAATGGCTTGAAAGTTGGAGACAGATTGGATTTTCAGCCTCTCATTGGGGCCTGCTGGAGATTGCACTTGAGGTTCATGTCTCTTCATGGTTTGTGGACATGTATCCCGAAATCCATTGGTTAACCCTCATTTTCCCGCCATTCAAATTGCGTAAAGTTGGGTCCGATACGACCATTTGAGTTCTGATGTGGCTTCCTCCATTTCTCTCCCCATCATAAATCATCATTTTTGATGTTCAAACATCTTTAAATCCCCCCAGTTTTGATTTTTTCATGGTTACTGCAACCCCCCCATAAAATCATATAAAATCATCATTTATGGAAATTTCGGGTATGCCAACCATCATCATTCTGATCCATTTATTTTGATGGTGTTTTCATGTTCCCCATGTCCCTCGGGCAGGTTGCCATGGTGGTGGAGGGTCGCCACGAGGTTCTGGAAACCACGGATGCCTCGACGCTTGGGATGCACGGGGCTTTGCAAAAAAGTCTTGGGGATTTAAGCAAAGATACAGGATGACACGGGATGACACGGGACTTACCCTCTGGTGAACTAACATAGCAATGGAAAATCACCATTTTTGATGGGAAAATCCACTATAAATAGCCATTTTCCATTGCTATGTTAGTTCACCAGAGGGTAAACTATATAACTTGTATAACTGACTAGCTGACTAGCAGACTAGCAGCTAGCAGGATGAATTGGGGATGTGATTTACCAATAAACCTTTGGGGGTTAAGCAGCAACCAATTGGTTTAAGAAAGCACAACGAGGATTTGACCAATTGGGGTTAAAGCAGCGAACAAGACCTATCCCTTACTGTAAAGGATTATTCCAGGGTATCAACTAGGTTATGGAATATTTTTTGGAAATAATAAGGGTAGGTATACGATGATGCATGTCCTAACCTTGAAAATCATGATCCCCCCCCGTCAAGATACCCCGGAATAATTAGGTTTTGGAATAGTTTCCTATAACTTTTTAAAAACATTTTAAAACATCTTGAAACAGCCTAAACGTTCCTACATAGTGTCCTTTCTTTCACGGTACTCTTACGCTCCCGATTTTGTCATGACAAGTTTTTGTCATTTCACATTCTCGAGCGGTTTTGTCATGACAAGTCACGGTCAACAATTTTCAGCCAACAATGATAAGACATACAGTAACGAAACAGAAGATCTCTGAGAAAGAGCGAGGCTGAGCCAAAATCTGTTAGGCTTTACCCAGGGAGGAAATTATTCTAGGGGTATTGGACATGTCCTGCACCCTTCAAAAAGCAAAGCAACTAGCTGCCACAATCACCTAACCAGCCCAGAAGCTGCCAAAAGCATCAAAAACGCAATACAATGCAGCACTTGCCTATTTGTTTATTCATTCCCACCAGGGCCAGTGCAAGTTCTTGTGGGTGAAATCCCCTTAAGGCATCCGTCTTCAGCGAACAATTAGTCTTCAGCAACAATAAATTCGGATTTGGCCAACGAACCTTGTCCAACCACCATAGCCAACCAAAAAAAATGGGCATGATTTGGACGAATCAGGAGCTCTGCCTTAAAAGAAAACGATATACCTTGTCGCCATCATTTACTATTCAGTGATCATGCGGTAAACCCAAAGCCATATCCTAGGTACCGCCGCCCGTAGCGAACTCAGTCCTTTTTAGCTTTCTCATTCGCAGGTGCAACATCTCATGCGCAAAGTTCTTTCAGAACCTTGGGCACTATTTGCCACAAGGCATGGCAATGACGGCATCGCCATTGCCATTGGTAGACATAGTTCCATATCTCAGCATTCAAAAGTTTGTTCTTTGCATTCTTTGTATGGACACTGTTTGGACACTGTTTGGAATGAAATCTTTACAGTAATCCCAACATTTGTCCAACGTCTGTGTGCCAACTGTGATCTTACGACCATTTTGTCTTTTCACTTCTCTGGTAGAACGTCTAAAATAATAATGTAAAGAAGACATGTGGAGCGTAGCGGCGTAGCATGAAAGATGTTAGCGGTATGTACCATCATGTAAAGATGACACGTGTAGTGTAGCATGAAAGATGTTAGCGGTATGTGCAATCATGTCAAGAAGACGTGTGGAGCGTAGCATCGAACATGTGAGCAAGTGCACAAAGACGTTAACATCTCCCCCACTTGAAGGTATGTGTGAGTAATTATGTAATATACGTACGTGTGATCATGTAAATTAGCCATGTGTGGATGCAGATGAAAGTCATGAAAGTATAGAAACAGCAAAAACACCGAGTTCGCTACGGGCGGTAGCATAAACTAGCGCCCATTCATCCATTGACTTTCCATTTGTGGATCATCAAGCACATCTAAAGACCATGAATTATGGCATGGGCCTGCCCCACGGGATAATATGACAGTTGAGGGGGATGGGATCACTCACAGAAGCCATGTGAACAATTGGCTTGTGCGTATCCAAATTTGCTGCTTCCGAAAGGGCCAGATATCATTTTCATTGCATTTTAGAGTTCCATCATTTTGCAGCATGCTACCCTCTGGTAAACTAACATACCTATGGAAAATCATCATTTTCAATGGGTAAATCCAGTATCAATGGCCATTTTCAATAGCTATTTTGACATAACCAGAGGGTAACAGTGCGAAATAAAGGCCAGTGTTTGGGTACTTGCCCCATCTTTCAGAAACGCCTTTAGCCCAGGATCGAACTTGGAGTCCCCGTTCTCCTTGTAGCCGAGCTGGCGGCGCCTTGGCCGGTGGCATTTTTGGGGGTGGTTGATGGTTGATGGTTACCCTCTGGTAATTTAACAGTTTGCTATTGAAAATGGCCATTTATAGTGGAATTTCCCATTAAAAATGGTGATTTTCCATAGTTAATGTTAAATTACCAGAGGGTAAGAAGGTCTTCATGACTGAGTTTTTTTGGGGGGACACTGAAAAAAAAACACTTTCAGGAAATTGAATAGCTGAATAGCACACATTTCAGCAGGAATCATGACTTACTTTACTTCGTGTGATCAACACCGTGACAGACACATTCTGAAGAGAAAATTGGCACGCGCACACACACACATATCCAAACATATTTTCTCACATAATTTCTGCCAAACATTCTGCTGCACACACACACATATCACATACTGTATATAATATATATATATATAATATATTATAGCGTGTATGGAGTATATATATATATATGCAAATATATATATATGTATAGAAAGATAGCTATATTCTCACACGATTTTTGATATTTATTTTGTCTGTGGCATATACTCTGACATGTGGTCTGACATGTTGTGGCACGGGGTTACGACGAAGTCCGGTGGTCACCCGCTCCCCAGGACAACTCCAACCCCGAGAGCTTTTTTGCTCCGCCGCAGCCAACAACCCTCAGACTCACCCTGGGCACAGGAAATGCAGAGATGCTCGGTGAAACACCCGGGGATGGTACTCTCATTAATACTGCCAACGGGGGTTATATAATCCAGCCATGGCGATTTTGTTGGGATATTTACTGGGACGCACAACCAATCTACAGAATATGATATGGGTTGGTCTGAACATGAAGGATTTACATGGATTTACTGTAGATCATGGACCGGAATTTTAAAATTTCAAGTGTATCACTTTCAAACACACCCATGAAACAACTATCAAACAACTACTGGGGATATCATGTTTGATGATTTTTGTGCCAGGCATCCAAGGGTTCCGACGCTCAAAATCCAGAGAGGAATTTCTTCCGAAGGGGTTGAGAGGCGACCGCCAAAGAGCTGGGTCTTCAGGAACGTACCCAGCAGGGGTGTGAAATCATAGAACTGCTGTTCTCCAATTGCCCAAGTAGAACTTTTTGGCCCTCCAAAATTGCGATGAAATTCGAAAACTTTTTCGCCAACAAGATGAATTTGTTGTTGATGAGTTTTGAGGGTCCCCAAACCTTAAGCATGCAATGCCGCTGACGTGGAGGTCCTCAAGTAATCTGGGAGGCCGAAGAAATGTTGAACCATTTGGATCCATTTGGAAAGATGGTTGAGTTGCAGGAAAGGAGGAGGCAGCTTGGTGGTAGATATTTGTGTGTTTCTAACCCCATTCCCCCAATATTGAGCACTCGCAAAAACTGTGTGTAGATCCCCTATTAAACCATAGTTTCTGAGGGGGGGGTGCCAGCGAAGAACGGCCGAGGATGAACCTGTCGCTCCCGGAAGAGTTCAAGAAAGATATGTTGCTTTGACTAAATAGCCAACATGTTCAAAATTTCCCATCAAGAGTCACAACATATCACAACCCCAATGCAAAACGCAGAAATCCATAGAAATCCATGGAAACCGCACCGGGATGTGTCACTTCCAGGCGGGATTTGAAACCTGTTCCCCTTCTTCGATGGGGAGCGTCCAGGTTGTTCTGGCCAGTGACCTATGCTGGCGATGCCGAGATCTTTGACATCGAAGTCAAGGAGAACGGGACAATTTCGACCAAACTGGTTGTGAAATCAAAGGGCTAGGAGCGGTTTGGGGTATTAAACTATTATATTAACTATATATTAACTATATTAACTATCGATTATAAACTATTCATGTTATCTCCTTATTAACTATCGATTATAAGAAAAAAGCAACGAGGAGCCCTGCGGGGCTACAGTCAGAGTTTCCCAACCGCATCATAGTTGCACTTTTCTGCATTGTGCTTCAGGCCTCCAGGATGGATTGGTGAACGCAACATTTTTTTGTTTGAGTCGATTTTGGCCAAATTGCGAAAGCTTGTTAGTTCAACTCGCATTTTTAGCTGGAGTATCCCAGAAATTGAGATTTTGCCATGTTCCATTCTCTTCCAAAGCTATCGTTTTGGTCTTTTTGGCGGGTTTCTATATCCTGGATTTTTGAATGGACCATCCACCAGAACTGGAGAATCTAGTGGGAACATTTCTTTTAAAAGTGGGCCGGCCCCTCATCAGGACCTGGTTGGGCGAAATTCCTCTGCTGCAGAGGCCTTTTTTGCATGGGATTGCTGGGCTCGGTGAAGGTTAGGGGATCATACAAAAGGAGTTTGGGGGAAAAAAAAATAAAATAATACGATGCAATACTATGATATAATATGATATACATGTATATCTTTATGTTATATACATTATATACAGGCATATTATATATACTATGTAGGTAGATAGACATAGTGTCCCAAGACCCAATTGAGCAAATTGGGCGGTATCTACATTGCTTTTCACACATTTCTTACTTTAAATGGTCAAAAAATGCGTTTTTTGAGGGACAAACTGTCGGAACACACACACACACATGGAGTTGTCTTAACAAAACTAGCCCTACATCTACTGACCATTTTTATTTTCATTGAAATTGCCATTCTGAGCTATCTATTTTCAACCAACCCATGGGATTTAATTAAATCAGTCAGAGTTTGGAATTTGCCCGGAACGGGTCGCGGCTTTCAACCATCAGAGCTGGGAAGGAAACCCAAGCGGGATTGGCCTGCAGTGATGCGTTCTAACGCATAAATTTCAGAGGAGATACCAGTGCATATATGCATATATATATATTAATATATATATATATATGTATGTATATGTATAGACTGTATAATATATATATATGTACTTCTTTATTATGCAATATACACATCGACACACGTGGAACCAACGCTGCTGATGAGATGAGTAGTCTTTCTTGAAATTCGGATATCAAGTGGGCGACACGCAGCCTTCAGCCCTGGCCGCAAGTGGATGGAATCCTAGAAACAGGTGAGGCCAGCCAATTATAAGTTGGTTTATAAACCCATCTAACTATATCTAACTATAGTTATAACAACTATATAGCCTATATAAATACTATATAGCCTATATAAATACTATATAGCCTATATAAATACTATATATACCCCTTACTTATCATAGTTATTTCAACCTTAAGCGAAGGGGCCCGACCGCCCCTTGAAATCAGCTAGGTCCAAATCTCCAGCACGGGGCAGGCAGCCGATCGGAGACTCCTACGGAACATCCTAGACAAAAAATGGGCAGTCAACATATAAGTAACTACATAATTAAATCTATATGTAAATGTAATATAATATATATATAATTAGTATTAATGCATTCATATGTATACAGCGAAACTCTCGGAGATGGCGATGGAGAGAGAGAGAGAGAGAGATATATTATATTACGTATATTTTATGTTTATTTTCCAAATGGAGACGGGAACGATAAATAATTTATTTATTGGACAGTGAGGCATCAGGCCTGACGACCTTGGACGACAAGATGACGACGAGTAGGACGTACGGCTGCCATGCCTGGTAATTTTTCAGAATTTGCTTGGGAGAATCATCATTTTTACTAGGTAAATAGATGTAAATAGTCTATAAATGGGTAATTCTCCATATCTATGTTAAATTGACCCAGAGGGTACTGGGTGCTCTCATTATACTGTAGAACTTTCCAGCTAGAGGGACTTGGCTCGATCTTTGTCGGTGCTCCTGAAGTTTCCATGTTTATAGCCTTAAAATAGCCGAACGGATTTGGCTCGACACGTCTCAATGACCATTTCAGGAACCTAAATTAGAGGTACCTACCATATATAGCGCCTATGTAAGGGCTATGTACTGCAAAGGAATATCCCCACAATTTATATGGCCTTATATGGTACGGTACAACCACAGTGACAAACACTTCAGTGGGATGATCCTCCAAGTCGCCCATGGATGGTTGAAGTTCCGCAATGCTCATTGGTACCCCCAGAACATCTACCCTCTGGTGAACATACAAATAGCTATTGAAAATGGCCATTTATAGTGGATTTCCCATTAAAAATGGTGATTTTCCATAGCTATGTTAAATTACCAGAGGGTAAACACCGATGATTCAGGTTCTTAGAAGAAAGTTGCTGGTTTCCCCATGAAATCCCGGAAGAATCCTCTAGAAAAATATCTACATCTCCAATCTACTAATGTTGATGGTGCCACGAATTATATATATATATACATACGGATGGGTCAACACCTATTATTACCCATATGTGGGGGAATCAACATTTGTTAACCATCCAAGTATCTAATATCGAAACCTGGTAACATCCCCGTTAAACCATCAACAAATTTCCATGTTTGTCCGCCAGGGTCGGCGACGGCGGAAGCCCAGTCAGCACAGCAGCGAGAGCGGCGACCGCTCCGAGACGCGGGCGGCCGGGGCAACTCAGAGACGTCGTGAGAGGTTGGGTCAGGTGGTCAGTAGGGATTGTTGATCATGGTAAACAATGGCATTGTAATGGTTACCCTCTGGTGAACTAACATAGCAATGGAAAATGGCCATTTATAGTGGATTTTCCCATGAAAAATTGTGATTTTCCATTGCTATGTTAGTTCACCAGAGGGTAATAATGGGTTTATAACGGTTGATAAATGATAATAATAGTTACTAATGGTCAATAATGATACTGGTGAATAATAATAATGGTTAATAAACGGTTAATACTGATGGTTAATACTGATAATAATTAATGGCGAATAAATGATAATAATGGCCATGTATGGTTGAATAATGGCAAGTCATGGTTAGACATGATTAATAATTGATGGTTAATGATGGTCAATGAGTAATGGTTAACGATTAATAATGGTGAAATTGGGTATGCCCCTACTTGGGATTTTGTGATTTGTTCCCCAAATGCTTGGTTCATGCGATGGTTTATGAACTAATTCTTGGGTTTACTACCTGATATAATGCTGGCTAGTGTTAACAATGGTTTGTCATGGTATGTCATGGTTAATAAGAAGGCATATAACCAACAATGATGGATAGCTAATGAAACTTATTGGAATAGTGAGGCAAACCCAGTACTAAACGATCCCCAAGTTTAGCAGAATGATATTAACCATCCCAAAAAAAAGAGGTCAAAACATAATCCCAATTTACATATTTTCCGATGAATTGAGCATGTGTTGAAAGCATCAACCGAAAAGAATTCAACCAAAAACCTCAATTTATGAAATTTAAAACTCGCAGCAAATTCATTTGATTTTTCTACCTTTTGGGACTTTGAACAGGTCTTAAAACATCAGTGTTTATTGTTCACCACATCAAAAAAAAGAGTGAGTCAGTTGACCTGGCCGCATAGCTGCAACTTGCCGATCCGCTCGGCATGTTGGCAAAAAAAAGGGTGCTATAAAGCATCAAAATAGGGTGGTTGATGATTGTTTTACTCACATTATTATAATATATTATAATATGATGTGTATATATATATATTTACAGTAATATATATATATAAACTATTATGTGATGAATATACATCAAAATCATCATCCCTTACAGCAAGATTCGCACACGTTTTCCGATGACTATGGCACGAGGTGCAAAGCCCTCCACCGGACATTCAAACCGGAGATTCGACCAGTTGCTGCCGCCAGTCCTAGGCGCCAGTCCGGGAAGCTGGGGATGGGTCAGCCGGCAACCTATGAATTTACCATATGACTGAGGGAAGAACCATCCACAAACCAGCTATGACTTAAAGGATCTTAAAGGTACTATGCAAGTCATGAAAGGGCGAACAAATTGAAAGGATACCGTTTGGTTTGACTCATAGCCGATCATGCAGATCATGAAGTTGCTTCTTCCCTTCTTCAAGTCTTCCAAGTGTCATGGTTTTTCATTTGTTGGTTTTTCCTTTGTCGGCCAGATTGCATCATTAATCCCCATCCCCTAATGTGAAACATTGCCTCTGGATCCAAACACTTGCCGAGGATGTACTGAACCCGCCAAACTATACAGGATGGGTGCCCCCCAGTTATAAGTTGGTTTATAAAGCCCATTAATTAAGTATAATTAATTATAAGTGTCATAAACCATGGTTATTGGAGTTATAAACCAACTTAGCTACCTAGGGGGCCCAACATTGTAGGGAAAAAATGGTGAAAGGGGGAAACTAGGACAAGAGAGGTTGGAGGTTGGTTGGGAGGTTGTTATGTTTTTGTTCAATATTGTAAATCTAAATGTTTGACTGTTTCTTTTTGATTATTTTGCTAAATGTTTTGTTGAGGTTGTTGTGATAATGTTTGGTTTGGATGAGGGTAGGTTTTGTTGAGGGTGTTTTGGTTGTTATGGTTTTTAGGTTTATGTTCAATGTTTGTTCCTTGGTTTTGATGTTTTTCTGGGGCTGTTTTTGGGACATTATAGGTCAAAGTGTTCATGCTTACCTTGTTGATATTTTTTTGCTTGATTTATGTTTTGGTTGGGTTGTTGGGGCTATATTCTGAAGCAGTCCTTCTTATGCTCTCAGGTTTCCTTGTCTTGGTTTCCCCAATCACCAACACCTGTGTCAACGCCAAACACATGCATCGTGACTGTTTTTTTTCTTTTAGGAGGTTGCCAAGTGTCCCATCTGCCTTTGTCGTTTTTTCCGTTGTCCTTCCTATGCTTCCTGTTCTTCGCTGACGCCCTCATTTTCAATACGTCGGGACGCCCAAGGACTTGTGCGAACTTGTCCTGTGTCATCTTGTGTCATCTTGCGTCATTGTGCAGACTTGCTCTCATGTTGTTTTTTTGGTGATGTTATGTGATGGTGTTGATTTTGAACATTCGTGTCTGCCATCTTTGTTTTCTCCAGCAACCATGGGGGCTCAAGACCCCACAACAGTCAGAGGATGTTGGGTTCGTGGGCGAAATGGATTGGGGAGAGAAGTGTGCCCCTCATCTTTGGTAGTGGGGTCAGCGGCTCTCTCATGGCCGTTGCGTGGAATGCCACCGAGCAAGACCGTTTCCGCCCAGAGAAGCCTGAGGAGTTCCAATTGGAGTTCCTAAACTTTGACCTCCCAGCCATCCACCGAGGTCTTGGCAAGAATGGCATGGTGGCTCTCATTGGCATGCAAGCCACTGGGAAGACCACCACGCTCCAGCATGTTCTGTGGGAGGCCGGGAACCCCTTTTTCCTGGAGGTCTCCCACGACGATGTGCATCGAGCCATCCACAATGAGCTCCGCAAAAACATTTGGAAGCTCCCGTGGCTTCTGGATGGCATGAGGGTGGATTGGGGAAAGACCCACAAGGATGTGGTGACCGAGGTCTTCAAGAAAGTACGGGACAAGACCCAGAAGCCGGTTCGCCTCGGCTTTGATGTGGTGGCTGTGACAAAGCACGGAATAGATGAGCCGCATGTCTCCAACATCATTGAGGTGACCACGGGCAAGAAAACCTGCATTTCCCCACCAACTTTGATGCGAAGTTCTTCGTGAAGCAGGTCAAATACCTTTGCGCAAACAGGCATGTGTCATCAGCCCTCATCTCCTCCAGCGAGGGCTTGATGATGCTGTCCTAGGAGAGCCTCGTCTTGACAAGATGCTTGGAAGGGAATTGCCCATCTCCAAGTCCAAGGCATACCTCAAGGCCTTGAGTGAGGAAAACATCAGCGAAGAGATGCTCACCAACATGCCCAGAACCTTTCAGAAGTTGAAGAAGTTGAGCGAATCAGCAGGCAAGGAGGCCTTTTGCAACAAGGAGATGCAAGGGTGGGTGAGTGCCATTGAGAAGACCAACGGTCAGCCCTTCACAAATGTCAAGGGACTTTACCAGAAGGCCTTGAATGAGCCGATCGGCATTAAGGACATCAGAGTGGCTACATCCGGCAAGTTGGCAACCTTCACTGGTGCAGACCCCGAGGAGACCTTCATCCAGCATATGGTCAAGACCAACATCTTCACGCCCCGAGATGATGGTCGTTATGAGTTGCAGTTTGACTGTCAGCACAAGGCCGTCAAGAAGGTCTTTGAACTGTAGAACCACTGAGGGGCGTTTGTACTAGTTCAGACAATCACTGCCCAATTGCGGTATCCCACAGACAGACACCTTTGGACAGCCTTCATGAAAAAATGTAGGCCTTTTGCGAGACACCTTGATCAGTGAGACCCTTTGCCTTGATGAGCACTCCCTCATTCCCTCAAGGATGAGCACGGTCTTATAGGAGTATGAGCGCAACTTCATAGGGGACGAGCCAGCAATCATCAGGTATGAGCCCGTCCTCATCAAGTATGACCTCATCCTCATATGAGACAACCATCATTTCTATTCATTTTGGATGATGATGACATCATCCTCTTATGAGCCTACCCTCATAGGGGATGAGCCTTCCAGTGTGAGGGGGTGTTGCGCCCATTCCGAGGTCAAAAAATCATCACTGACGAGACCTTCGTTGAGGGTTGGCTGGGTTTCAAACAAACATTGTGGAAACATGTTTAACGCTTTTTATGGAACAAATCCGTTCAAGTGAAGATCACAAGAACAATTGCGGGTAGCCTTCAAAAGCCCAACTTTCAGTGAGGAGTTCGACCAACACGTGTAGGGAGTGTCGATTTCGGACAATTCCTAAACTGTATATTCATTGGTTTTACACCCGTTCTTTGAAGATGCGATATATGATACATCTATAGTCTATAACCCTACACCCCACAATATTCATTTGTCAGGGTGTCAGGCGACCGTGTCTTTCGTAGGGTCTGGACTCGGGCTCTTTTGTTTTTCATTCTTGGGGGCATCCACATTGAGTGGATGAAAGAAATAAAAGGAGAAGGAGAAGAAGGGGAAAAAAAGGAAAAAAAACACCACTGGGGGAGCGACGCGCTCGGCTTTTGCAACTTCAATGCGCATCCCAGTGGTGGCAGACAACAATGACGATGAGGACGAAGACGACAACGACTCTAAGTCTGGTGAGAATGGATGGACATTTTGATTTTAGTTCTTTTTTCACTCGTGTTCATGTTGTTGATGATGATTTGTTCCCTCCCCATATCTCTCTTGACAAAAAACCTTCCCCATTTGGTGGGTGGCGAATATTCTGACATTCACATCTATGACTATGACACCCTCGACACAAGGCAAATCGTTGCGCTATCCATTTTGGTGAAACGGTGTCTATACCAAATCCCTCGGCTTTCCAACGCAAGACCCAAAAATACTTAAAGACAAGTCGCCTTATGTAATTAAAATTTGATATGCCCTGCTATTTAGTAATTGATGGTAAGAAGCAAGAAATGGACGAGGACATCTTTGACCAGATGGTTGAAGCACTCCATCAACCTACAATCCAAGAACCCCCAATGCCAACCTCCACAAGATGGCAAGGCGATGGAACTTATGACAAGAAACCCAACGACCCAAACTACTTCTCAAAATACTATCAAAAGAAATTATCAACCCCTTTCACCTGTCCCGACTGCGGACGGACAATTTCGTCCAAATCCAATCTATCAAAACATCGTCAAACCAACATTTGTATGAGGAAAAAATGCCAGTGTTGAAATCCAAAATTTTCTCAATAACAATCATTTTTATTGAGAAGGTTTTTATGTTGAAGTCCAACCCCAATCCCAAAAATTCCAACAGGCAACCCATACCCAAAAACTACTTAAAGAAATGCCACCTTATAGGGTATAGAGTAAATGGCAGAGGATACAAGGTTGAAACATTCAAAAGAAATGTTATATATTAAAAACCAATCCAACAACCAATCAAATCAACCACAACATCCTCAACAAACAATTCACACTGAAAAACTACTTAAAGAAACAGATGATTATAATAATATAGATTATACTATAATGGACACTTCACAGCAGATTGTTTTAGATCATCTTTTGTCATCCGAAAAGGGTGAGATATTGAAACGGAATGGTGAAGAACTCAAAAAACTCAAGATTGGAGACAAGACCTACAACTTTGAAAGGGGGAAACCCATTTCAAAGAGGTTGATTACCAAATTCAACAAGATTAAGCAGACTATGGACTACAAAAAGTATGAACTGAAAGAGAAGAGAGGCATTAGATGGGTCAATCTGGACAAGAACAAAGCACTCGCAGGCATTCAAATGAGATACAAAGCAACCACCACCAACGAACAATCTGCTTTCAAAGGTTATGTCAATTCGTATGCCATCAATTGGAGTTAGTGAAGAGGAACTGAAAAGAGATAGAGAAAGATTAATGAATTTCATAAAAGAAAATCCTATCCTGATTATAACTTTATAGAATATGACCTACTACTTAAGCAAAAACAATCTTTAGAGCAATACGCAGAGTATGGAGAGATAAACCACGACCTTATGAAAGAAATTTATGAAAACATATTTGATAAAGATTTAATCAAAAAACACGGTGAGAGGATACACCATAGAGGAGGAATGACAGCATTACAACAAAACTATTATACACTATTGTCAGTGTTGGGATACTTGATTGACCAACGAGGACTTGATAGAGACACAATCATTTTGGTGTTCTACAACATCAAAACGATTGTTTCTCAATGTTGGGATGGAATAGGTAGTGGTGATGAAAAGTGGAGACATTAAACCTGATGATTAATTCATAATATCTTAATAAAAATTATTATGAAGTAATCACCCACCCAAACACAAACAAAAACCCC